TCGAATCGCCGGTTTGGGGGTCCCAGGGGGGGACTAGAGGGGGGGGGAACTATCTCACACGCCTAGATACCCACAAGGGGTCGGCGGATTAGTACTTGGAGGAAGGAGGTGGGCGAGGAGGAGCAAACGAGGAGGGAGGAGGGAAGAGGACAAAAAGGCACCCAGGACATGTTCGCTTGTGTTTCATTGCAGAGCCATAGACTGCGCAGGAACGAAAACGCGCGTGGTTTTGGTTACTATCCAGGTTGCGTCGTGCGCATGTGATACGTCCGACGATTGACGAGATGGAATGCTGGACATGTGTATATGTGTGCGGGCTATGCGCTCGTACCGTGTGGCGTGCGGACCGCCCCCTAGTGAGACTTCGATGTCGCGCGTCTGGGTCACTAGAGGCTCTCCTGGATTACTTAATGGCCTTCGGCCCATCCCTCCACCGTGCTTGGTTTGTGGGCCGTCTGCCTCTAGGATGTTTGTCGGGATGTCGCGGGAGGCCTCTTCGGGGCCGTTTTGGGGCCTCCTGGGGGTCTCTTGGGCCTCTTGGGGCGTCCCCGGGAACATCTTGGGGCGGAGCGCTCGGATTTTCCGCTCGTGTTCCCTTTTTTGGGCCCGTCTCGGAGCCTTCTTGCGGCCCTCTTGGTCTTGTGCGTTTCTGGGGCCGCCTTGGGGCCGTCTGGGGCAGTCTTGGTGCCTTCTTGAGGGCCTCCTGGGCTGTCCTGGGGCGGGCTCACCATCTCCGAGGGCGCGCGGTGCTCCTGAGGGCCACCGGCCAGAGCTTCGGAGCCGCGCCGACTGAAGATTGTGACGAGCAGCATGGAGGATCTGGAAGGAGACCCGGTGACTCGGGGAGAGGTGATTGCCGCTCTGCGTGCGGAGGGTGACCGTGCTCGTGCTGATGGCCAAGAGCTCAGGCTCGACCGGCACCTGGAGCTGATGCAAGGCTACGGAGGCCCTGGTTCAGCAGAGACGCGAGGCGGAGAACGGCCTCAGCCAGGCCCGAAGGCAGTTCGAAGTGTGCGAGACGAGCGTCGCGGAGGTTGTGCTTTCGATAGCGGTTCAGGGTGACAAGGCTGGCTGCGCGCAGGGACGTCCGAACTTTCTCTATCGTTGGTGCGAACGGAGATGAAGCGGATTCAACGGGCCAGAATTGTCGCAGTCATCCTACAATTACCATGCCTGGAACGCTTGGAACCGCCACTTCAAGAATATGCTACGGGTACGGACCTACAGGAACAAGTGTGCTCTCAAGGACGAGGTCCGACTTGCGTGCTGGCTGACCTGGACGGATCTGCGGAGGGGTCAAACAGACTCCCGAGAACCGACCAGGCAGAACCTGGGTCGGATTGTTCTCGGCAAGCGTCCTCGTCCTTTGACTAGAAAAGCAGTCGAAGCTAGGAATGCCAAGAACCAGAGAAGCCGCTTGAAGCAAAGGAACAAGGGCCAGACCAATCAGGTGGATGACGTCAATGCGGCTGACTTCAGTGAGGGTGATGATGAGCATGAGGAAGATCACAGCCGTGCATCGCCGGGCGGAGCGTCCGGTGATTACGCCGCGGGTGATTCCCTGCAGCACTTGGAGGCGCCATTGGCATTGGAAGCTTGAGTGGAAAGGAGGCTCTCGGCCGAGGCAGCAGCAAAGCAGCAGACTGAGACACCGCCGCGGCCTCAGGCTATGTCCGAGGCAAAGCCCAGGGCCGCTGGTAGGCCCGAGAGACGTGCTGCCGCATCCTCATCCGCCCAGCTACCTCCCGTTGCGGAGTCCGGCGACGACGACGCGATCACTGACCCAGTCGCGACGACGCAGCCGCGCAGTTCAAAGCCAGCACTTCCCAGGCCGAAACATGTCGGATCCGTCGGTGTCTATGTCCTGGTCCCCAACAGTGAGGGCAACGTATCCGTCCTGGTCCGCCGTCGAAGCCGAAATGCGGGATCACCGCTCACGATTGCCACGCCAGGCGGGATGGTCGACCGGAGGGTCTTGGAAGTTACCGAAAAGCAAGATCGGGGATTTGAGTGCACCGCCAGGTTCGCAGCCTGCAGGGAGCTCCGAGAAGAAGCTGGATTGGATGTTCCCCCAGATGCCCTGACGGGGGGCCGATCGAGAGGACGACCGATTGCCGGCGCGTGAACTGCGGGGTCCTTCTCGTGGAGTTTCCCCATGTTTCTGGATCTCAGGCACGGCGCCGCAAGGAAGGTGCATAAAGGTTGTGACAACGTTCGAGGAGTTCTTCGGGAGACGACTGCCGCGTCTGGGTGGTTTTTGATGACCTTCTCTTGGTGGAAGATCTACTACCAGCGCGTCTACTGCCGTTGTCGCACATCGCGGACGTGGAAAAGCCGTTTATCCAGAAGATGCAGCAGCTGGCGGACATCGAGACGAAGCATGTTATGGGCGAGAGCATGGACCTTCTTCGCAAGAGCTGGAACTGCCGCCTTCAGAATCTGAGCGCGATGGACGCAGGCCAACCAGCGGCTTCATTTTTTTAACTTGGCACGGAAGGGCCGGGCTCGACAGACGCGCTGGATCGCTGGAGTCACGATGGAGCCACTATCGTAGGCACGCGCTTGGCTGAGAGGGTGGCGGTCCGTCATGAGTGCAAAAGGAGTATTGCGTTTCGTGCGTGGGCGAAACTGCCGATGACGAAGCCTGCCAGCGTAGCCAAACAGATAGTCAACTCGTGCTACATTTTCGACGGATGCATCGTGAGCACCTCCTTGAGGAATGCGTGCAGGGCTGACGGCGACTACTCAGAGTTGACTGCGTATTTTGCAGGGTTCGCGGAATATGAATCTGTCCAAGGGCCCATCAGTCATCGCCCTGTGGATCAGTTCGCTTGGCGGGGTCTCAAGGACCCACCAATCTGGATTCCCGCTGCGTGGGATTTTGTCAACATCGTGAACGACGATAACCTTCCGGAGATTGGCGGTAATCTCTGGCGCGAACACCAGGAAGAGAAGAGGCTAATGAATGCCGGCTGGGGAGAGCCGGTGAACGGCGGCGAACGCGTCGTTCGGGACATCGCGGAGCGGGCTGCGGAAGCGACCCGCCAGGGACAGAGCGAGAAGGCGCAGCGCCTCTCGGCCCGCTTCCAGGGGGTTTCGGAGGCCGTGGAGACGTTGAGAGGGCGCGCGGGCGCTCCTTCGCGAGTGGCGAATCCGCTAGGGAGACCAATGCAGCCGTCGCGAGCCTCGCGCAGTGCCTCTCCAACCCGGTGCTGCGGGGCGCTCCAGTGGACAAGGGCCCGGTCGCTCTTGCTCCCGCCGAAAGGTGCGTCGGCGCGCGCTGGAAGACAGAGCTGCAAGCTGGCCAGGAGAAATCGACGCGCCCTCGAGAAGATGGCGAGCCTTGCCTGAATATCTTGTCCCAAGGTAGACGCGACGAAGGACGACGCGGCCGATGCTCTTCGCAACTGCGACTGTTTTGGGCGCTATGGCTCTGGAGGTTCACTCTGGGGCGTTCAACTGGCAGATGGATCCAGCTTTGCTCGGGGGAACATGTCGTCGGGGTTCGACGGGCCCTGTGGCCGTGGCCCGATCGCCTACCCGACAGGACAATTGTGGCTCATCGATATGTCAGTGACGAGCGTCAGAGACATGGTGGGGGACCTCGCGCTCGCCGTTAACAAGGGCTCCGAACTCCAGGCCGCGCGCCACCGCGCCGACCTGGCGGCCCTCGCCCCCATCTAGTGTGAGCGCGGGGCGCGCAAGCCAGTGCCTGGACCTTTTCGCGCGGGCAATGTCTTCGGAGTTTATAGTGGAGGAGAATGCCGCCGCTTCGGCTGTGCCCACTACATGGTTCGCGCGTCGTCTTGACGCGGGTCCCGAGATGAACCTGCGCTCGTGTATCTTCGAGATGCTGGTGGACCGCGGGCGCCGCGCGAACTCCCTGAGGCGCGCGCCCGCGGTCAGCGGCGCCAGGGCGAAGGCAGCACTTGCGCAGCCAAGCCCTGGGCCCCCGCTGCCGCGATGAGAGATCCACGACGAGGTCGAGAACGGGGGGCCTGCCCTTGGATGGCACAAGCTCTGGAATCGCACGGTCAGGATGCACCTTGCGGCGGGGGTTCTCTTCCAACTGCGTTTCCGAGTGCGCGCGCTTGCTCGGATGGCCCGATCGAGGATTCCGACCTGGAGACGTCCGTGCTTGGATATCTTCGTCCCGCGTCTGCCCTTCCAGGGCGAGCGATGGGTTCCGCAGTGGGCCATCGAACTCAGCGCGGCAGCCCGTTTCTGGGAGCGAACTGGCAGTCCCTGCTGGCCGAACAACGCTGATCCGAGCAGCTTCATGGTCGAGACGGGGCAATTGCGGGCGAGTCGAGATCTGGCAGCGGTGAGGGGGGTGCTTATCCTTGGGGAGACCTGTCCTAGAGGCGCCCCAGAAGTCTCTGTGCTCGCGTGGCTGAAGCGGCCGCGTGTCACGGGTGACCCGCGGAGGGTTGTCGAGTTAATGGCCTCATGAGTGGCTGCGTCTACAGTGGCTACGACGAGTGCGAGGCGCCCAGAGTGAGCTGGGGCTTGGTCGACGGTTCGGCCGAGAAGAAATGGTAGGAGCTACGGTTGTCATGTCTATTTCAGCTTCTCCTCCTCCTGCACCTCGGTCTTGCATCATTTCACCTCCTTTTCTCTGCCGCTGCTCTGGCTCGCACGGCCCTTGAGTTATTTGGCGCGCTGGCCGCGGGCGCGCGCGAACCTGCGTAAGGAAAGAAAGTGCGCTCTCTCTCTTTTTTTGTTTTTTGTGTGTTCTCTCTCTCTCTCTCTCTCTCTCTCTCTCTCTCTCTCTCGGGGGTCCGTAGCCACGTTGGCTCAAGGTTTTGGTTTCCCAGCGGAAACAAGTGGATGCCGCTAGTCCGCGGCAAGTGTTCATTTTCTTCGTCGCTCCGCTGCGCGCGCCGCCCGGCCACGCAGCATCCAGTTTGACCTCTCCTGTCGCAGGTGTGACATGGCCAATTGGCGGACGACCGCCTTCCAATGGCTCTGCGGCTGCCGCCAGACGTGCCCGGGAACAGGCGCGGCGCTTCCGATGGTGCGTGCACCCCAAGACAGGCGAGAAGTGGTGGAATGAGGCTGAGTTGCTCTCGTGTTCGATGTGCTCGCGCACCAAGGGAGTCGCGTTCGGGGGCAACACGGCGCCCGCGCTGCCCAGCATGCACGCCAAGCAGTTGCCGCCCAAGCCCAAGGACACCGATCCCAAGAAGGAGCTCCGTGCCAAGGACCTGGAGATCATTCGTCTCAAGGCCCAGCTCCAGGCAGCGGGCGCGGGCACCGCAGCCAGTCAGGAGCCGCTGGTCTCGGAGCCAACCAACCTTGAGCAGAGGGGGCTGGGCGAGATCGCGACCGCCCTCAAAGCCCTCGGCCCCCTCGAGGACGCTGCCGCGGTGCGGGCCCGCGACGAGCTCGCACGTGAACGAGATGAGCTCAAGGGTCGCATCGTTGCCAGCAAGCCTTTCTCATCGCAGGTGCATCACTTCACGACTCGCATTGACCGGTGGAAGCGCTAGCAGTCTGAGTTGGAAGGCAAGCTGACCAGCCATCAGGCAGATAAGGGGACGTTGGAGCTGCTCATTGGTGAGACCGCTTCGGAGCTCGCCAAGCTGGAGCAAGAGATCATCGACCTCGAGGCCCAGCGGGTACAAGTGGCGCTCAAAGCGCCCACGGTTGCAGCAGGCAGTTTCTCGCTCAAGACCATGGTGCCCGCGCCGGAGCTCCCAGTTGACAGGTTTGGGGAGATGCTGCGCGAGCTGGGGGCGGACGCTACCCTCACCGCCTCGGTCAGCACGTGCTTCGAGGCGCTACGAGAGCTGCAGGCCGAGGCGACTGCGCAAGCCGCCGCCGCGTCCTCGTCCTCGGAGGCGCCGCCCCCTGGTCAGCAGCCTGGGCAAGCACCTGAGGCAGAGCGACAGGCGCAGCAGCAAGATGCAGCAGCTGCAGTCCCCATGGACACCGACGACATTGAGGAGCTGCGCTCGTACCTCACCGCAATCGGGATTGAGCCGCCAGCAGAGGAGGCCGAAGTCCGTGAAAGAGTCAAGAGGATGGCCGAGGCGGCCAACGACTACGCCAAAAGGCGCAAGGTGGCAACGTGAGCTTGCTGTATGCATGCTCGGTTTTCTGACGTGGTTGGTCCTCGGCTTCATGACCTACTGGCGGGTTCAGATATTGCCCTTACACTCACTTGTCTGCCGCCCATCCCCACATATGTGTTGGTGGCTATGCCTTAATGTTCTCGGCCCTAGTGGCCATGCGCCGCCACGTGGGTTTGGCAGGGCTGGCACCAGGCGAGCAGAGAAGGGAACGTGTACATCAGGGGCGGCTACGTCTCCCAGGCTGGTGTCGCGCAGGTTGTTTCAGTTACTGCCCTTGCACTCACTCGCGTGCAGCCCATCCCCTGATTTGTGTTGGTGGCTATGCCTTAATGTTTTCGGCCCTCGTGGCCATGCGCCTTCGCACGGGGTCGGCAGGGCAGGCACCAGGCGAGCAGAGAAGGGATTGGGTACTTCGTCGGCTACGACCCCCAGGCTTGTGTCTTCTGGGTGGATTCAGTTGCTGCCCTTACTCTCACTCGCGAGCCCCCCATCCTATGATACGTGTTGGTGGCTATGCCCTAATGTTCTTGGCCCAGGTGGCCATGCGCCTTCGCGCAGGGTTGGCAGGGAGGGCGCCAGGCGAGCAGAGAAGGGATCGTGGACTTCGTGGGCGGCGATGGCCATGGCAGCATGTATGCAGTGGTGGGCCAGCAACTGCAGTGGGTTGGTCAGTGGCAACCTACGAATGTGGTGCGCAGGCCTACCATGTCTCCTCCCCGCGTTGCGCTCGATGCGGCTAAGAAAAACATGTCGTCAGGATGCTGGAGGTCGGACATCACTTGGCCTTCAACGTGGAGGTGCTCAACGCCTTCACGCTCGTGTTGCAGGTGGTCTACTCTGGGTCATGCTTGCAGGTGCTGCTCCAGGAGCAGGTGCAGTTCCAGTGTGCAGTGTTGTCACAGCGAATACTTCTTCACATGGGGTGCTGACGGATGTTCCCAGCATGCCCAGCTGCAGCAACTCCATAGTGTTGGGGCAGGAGCATCACGCTGACCGAGAGCACCTGCCAGATGTACAGGCGGCTGCTACTCGCCTGGGCTTCGCGGGACTTTGGGCTACAGCTCCAGACACGGGCAGAGGGGGCGCACGCGCGGGGGCCTAGCGGCCCTAGCGCCCAAGCGCATTCGCGTCAGTCTTGGACCAGGCTTGGAGGGGCCCGAGTTGGTTCCAGGTCGTGTCTTGGTTTCGTATCTCAACTGGGGTCCTGAGAGGGGTGCGGTTCTCATATCAACCTATTTGATCGATCCAACTGAGTTGCATGATGACAACCTGGAGATACCCTCGGCCATAGCCAGGTATACCAGCACACTGAACGCGCAGCAGCGCCATTGGGCTATTGCTGGAGATTGGAACATGGCGCCCGAGCTGCTCACCGAGTATTTCAACTCTGTCTTTGGAATCACCAAGGTGCCCGCTGAGCCCACATGTATGAGCGCAAAGCCAGGCGCAATCCTCGACTATCTATGTCTGTCCAGTGGGCTTTCTCTTAAGGCCCGAAGTGTTCAGGTACTGGAGGATGCCACGACGTACCCTCGCTTGCCAGTCGAGCTGACATTGGTAGTTGCCGAGCACCGCATGTGGGCACGAGTGCCAGTGGAACCAATGCAGGCCAATACGATGCCATTGCCAGGTTGCGCGCGCTTCCCGCCCGTGGCCAGGTGGGACAGGGCAGAGCATCTCATTGCGAACAGTGGTTGTGACCAGTCCTTATCAGTTGCCTGGGATGCGGTGCTATGTGGGCTGGAGCATGAACTCTTGGACCGACATGGCATTGCGCAGCCACATCGACGACGCCGATACCAAGGACGTGCTGGTCCTGCATATTGGGCTTGGAAGAAAATTCTTTACGCTTCGCGTATCCCCACCAGCCCATCTCACAGCAGCAACTCTCGCGAAGCATGCCGACAGTCGTTTTTTTTTTTTTTTTTTTTTTTTTTTTTTTTTTTTTTTTTTTTTTTTTTTTTTTTTTTTTTTTTTTTTTTTTTTTTTTTTTTTTTTTTTTTCTCAGGCGCGTGCCCGCTTGGCCCCGCATATCTCCCCTGTTCCTCCTTCCCCCCGCCTCCTTGCACATCCTCCCTGTGAGGGGAGCGGGAGAAGGACGGGGCGGAGGAGGAGGGAGAGAAAGCGCTCCTCGTGATTTGAGTCGTTTGGGGTTTCTCGTCCTGGTGTGAGTCGTTCGGGCCCTTCTTCCTGGTGTGAGTCGTTCGGGCTCTTCGTGGTGTGAGTCGTTCGGGCTCTTCGTCCTGGTGTGAGTCGTTCGGGCTTCTCGTGGTGTGAGTTGTTCGGGCCCCTCATCCTGGTGTGAGTCGTTCGGGCCCCTCCTCCTGGTGTGGCTCGTTCGGGCTCCTCGTGGTGTGAGTCGTTCGGGGCCCGCGTCGTGGTGTGAGTCTTCGGGCTCCTCGTGGTGTGAGTCGTTCGGGCGCCTCGTCCTGGTGTGAGTCGTTCGGGCCCCTCCTTGTGGTGTGAGTCGTTCGGGCTCTTCGTGGTGTGAGTCGTTCGGGCCCCTCGTCCTGATGTGAGTCGTTCGGGCTCCTCGTGGGGCCTCTTGGGGGCCTCTTGGAGCCTCGTGGGGCCTCTTGGGGGCCTCTTGGGGGCCTCTTGGGGGCCTCTTGGGGGCCTCTTGGGGGCTCTGGGGGCCTCTTGGGGGCCTCTTGGGGGCCTCGTGGGGGCCTCTTGGGGCCCCGGGGGGCCTCTTGGGGGCCTCTTCAGGGCCTCTTGGGGGCCTCTTGGGGCCGCTTGGGGGCCTCTGGCGGGCCTCTTGGAGGTCTCTTGGGAGCCTCCTGGGGGCCTCTTGGGGTCATCTTGGGGCCTCTTGCGACCTCCGCAGAAGCGCAAGGGAGAGCTGCCCCCAGAGAAGGGCAAACTGAGCCCAAAACCTTCGTAACATCAACGATTTTGCTATGAGGGAAGATGAGCGCGCCCCCCTCAGAAGGCCAACATGGTGCCAAAACCTTTGTAAAATTAATGATTTCTGCTTCAAAGACGAGCAGAGGGGCCAAACTCCCCCCCCCCCCCTTCCGGGGCCAGAATCCTCGTGGGGGTCGTAGTTGTTTGGCCCTTCGAGGAGTCGCAAAAGACACCCGACTACGCTCGGGAATCCCTGTCCAGGCCCAGGGGGAGGGGGTAGGGGGCCCTCCCCGAAGGGGAGGAAGGGGGTTCAGAACAGAGCGGGCTCTCTAAACCACTCACGCCCAAAGGGCTGGTGGGATTGAGCCTCTGCAGCCACCTGCCCCCAAGCGACTTCAAGCTTGCAAGACGCTCGGCAGGTGGTTTCGCCACGCGAGATCGCGATATACACGGGTGCTCACGCGCGTCGAGCGCGTCGTGCAAAGCGCAGAGGGCCCAGGAGTTTACCCGGCACGCCTCTTGCCATATCTCTTTGGCAATCGTGGTGCCTGGGAGGACACGCCTGATGCTAGCAAGGGGCGTCACCTCCTGGCCAAGCTTGCTTGGGACATGCAGGGTTTCTTCTGTAGAGTGGCCAAGGCTAGATGGGTGTGCGAATTGCTGGATTCCGAGGACCAGCTGGAGATAGCCGATGTGGCTGCGACCTTCTATGCCACGGGCTTCCTCGACAGGACTGGGCGGATTTTGGCCAAGGTGGAGAAGGTGATTCATGCTATCAGCGCTCCTGCCTCTAGTGACTGGTCCGACTGGGCCCAGGGGGCCTTCCTCGCAGGAGCGAAGCTGGCGCATCGCTACCCAAAGGTGAAGGCTATGCAGGAAACCCTCGACTTCACCGACGATGCGGGCCAGCCTTGCCAGATGGCAGACGCATGCCTTGATCAGTGGTCTACCATCTGGGCACTTCACGGATGCCAGCAGCTACAACGCCCTGTTGACTGGCAGCAGTGGGACAAGCTCCCGCCCATCACAGGCGACCAAGTGAGGAGAGTCATCCGTAAGTTCAAGTTGCACGCGGCGCTCGGGCAAATCAATATGCAACCGAGGTCGCTCGACGTGATCGCAGACAGGGGTCTACACACGGTGGCGACGCTCCTGATGAAGTGCGAAGGCATGTGCTGCTGGCCCGACAACAGGCTCCAGACGCGACTGGTTCGACTTGCAAAGCCAGATGGTGGACATTGGTTAATTGCTCTCATCGATACGTTGGTTCGCGTGTGGAGTCGGCTGAGGCGACCACTGTCCAAGAGATGGGAACTCCACCATCCGTGTGGCGCCTTCTGAGGGTCCCGACCAGGAGCGACATCGGTGGACGCGGCGTTCCAACACAACTTAGATTCTGAGCTGGCCCGACTTCGAGGCCATGCGTTGGTGAGTGTACTGATTGACATGTATACGTGCTTCGAGACGATCAAACTTGAGTTCCTTCTCAAGCACGCCCGACAGCAGCAATTGCCTTTGCGCTTGATTTGGATGCTGCTCAGTACGCACCAAGCCCCTAGGCTTATCAAGGCCTACGGGTCGGTTTCGCAGGAGTACACGTCATACCAGGGTATCTTGGCGGGATGCTCGCACGCCTTTGCCATGATGCATATACTGCTGGGACAAGTTCTGCAGCAGGTCCGAAGACTGTTCGTGGAAGTCATACCCAGGGCGCTCATGGACGACGTTAGCTTCCAGTGGACGGGGCCTCAACCAGAGCGTTCGCAGCAGTTGTTTGGAGCGGTGCGCTGGTTTACACATCAGGTCTTTGCTTTTGGATTGGTTAGCCAGGCCAGCAAGAGTGGCTGCATCACCTCGTCGGCCAAGGCATCTAAGGCAGTTGGCAAGATGGCAGCGCTCCTCAAGCTGAAGTGTCATTCTCACCTTCGCAACCTTGGCCACGAGCTGGCAGGGGCCCGATTTTGCAGAGTACAAGAGCGCAAACGGTTGATAGGCCTCCAGCAGCGCAAGAACAAGCTGAGGGCTCTCATCAGAAGGTCCAAGGGCAAGGTGGGAGTTATCTGGCGCACGGGTTTGCTGCCCGCTGCAGCCCGCGGCTCAGGCACCAGTGGAGTCGTCGACTCCACGCTCGCGA